TCCGTCTTAAGTGGACGATCACGTGGAGAGGTTTTCGACCCCGCTCTTAAGACTCATCGGCAGAGCGCGGTCGGCTAAACCACACAAACAACAACGGGAACAAATAACCCCGCGCCAGCGCGCGCGGCCGGAGAAAACGTCGCGGCAACGTTGCCGCGACGTCGGATTAAACGTTGGACAAAATGTGACCGCGTGAGCCACGGCGGCCGTTGCCGAGCGTCCCACGGCGAAGCGACGGCGGGAACGGCAACAAACCGGCGTTGCCACGCGGCAGCGGCGTTGTCGTCGCCCCGAGCGAGCGAGCGAGCCGGCTCACGGCGCCGGCGCGTCTCTCGCCCCCGGCGCTCCGTCGGCACCGGCGGCCTCGCCGCGGTGGAACCTCACGCTCCGGCCGCCCCTTCCTTCGCCGCCGCCGCCGCCCTCTTCGTCGGACGAGGACGAAGAGGACGACGAGGTGCGCCGGGACGCGAGGGCCTTGCCCGTGCCGTCGGCGAGCGTGCCCGAGCTGTAGGCCTGCATGCACTCGCCGATGAAGCGGCTCATCTCCGGCACGGCGGGGTTGACGAGCGAGCGGCGCTCGGGCCCCGAGTTGGCGCGCTTCACGTGGTGGTACCGCGCCGCCGCGTGGTGGCGCGGGACCGGCAGCTCGTCGTGTTGCGGTTGCTGCTGCTGGTAGCAGTTGTTGTTGTTGTGGTAGTTGTTGTTGTTGTGGTAGCAGATGTTGTTGTTGTGGCGAGGGTTCGACGCGGACACGTCTTGGTGGGAGACGGCCATGCGGCGCCGCCGGCCGCCGTCCGCTTCCGCCGCGTGGCCGTGGTGGTGGTGGTGGTGGCGACGGCGCTGGGCGGGAGATCCGCCCGGAGTGGCGGCCGCCGAGGCGCCGGGCGGCGTCGGCGTGGGGCACAGGCAGCGGGCGTCACGGTGCGGCATCAGCTCCCACGTCGGCGTCGTCGCCTTGCGCCGCGCCGGGTCTGGCGGGGGAGAGACGCGGAGGAGACGTTCCGACGGACGTCCGTTCAGTCCATCGCACGGACGCACGGACGCGTGGACAAACGCACGGACGCACGGACGGATTCGCGAGAAAGCCCCCGCCACCCTCGTCACGTGGAGTCCACCTGGGGCTCCACTGGCGGCTCGCCGACGCCGCTGACCCCGGACGCCTCAGGCCGGCCGCCCTCGCAGACTTTCCCCGCTGCCGCACGCGAACCGCGCCAGTACGGGGCCCTCGCGCGTTTCCCACCGGCCCATCTCAATGGAAGGGGAAGCTGGCGCCTCCCAAGCTGCGCTGGGCCTCGGCCCAGATCGGTGGCGCAGTTTTTTGGAGGTTCGATTGGGCAGAAATAAATGTGTCGTGAAACCCGCCACCACCCGACACAGCCAATGAGGAAGGTTTGTCACGTCAACAGAACGTGCCACTTCGTTACTAGTTTAGCACGCCGGTGTGTTGGAGAGTAAACCCACAACAACATTTACAATTGGTCGCTAAAGCCGAAGTGTTGAACTAAGCTCCATAAGCATCACCGTCAAGCACCACTTCCATCACCGCTGCCACCACCACCGCCACCGCCACCACCGCCACCGCTACCACCACCGCGACCACCACCACCACCACCACTGCCACCACCACCACCGCCGCCACCACCACCACCACCGCCGCCACCACCGCCACCACCACCACCACAACCACCACCACCGCCACCACCACCGCCGCCGCCACCACCACCTACACCGCCACCACCACCACCACCACCGCCACCACTACCACCAAGCGTTATCCCTTCCCATCATCAGGGTTCACCACTCGGCCTTCTGTCACCGCACGTACCGGGGCGCAGTGGCCGCGACGAGCAGAGCGGCCCGGCGCCGAGTGCCACGCGGCGCCCTCCGACGGCGCCGTCGGCGGCGGCGGCGGCCGGCGGCGGCGGTGCGGCCGCCGCCGCGTGGATCCCGGTCGCGGCTCCCTCCACGTCGCTGTCGGCGTCGCCGGGGTCGCTGTCACGTGGGTCGCTCCCGCGGCCGCTGTCCTTGCCGCTGATGCCGTCCGCTTCGGTGCACACGCGCCTGGCTCGCGAGACACGGGGGGATGCAATGATGACTACAATGACGATGATGACTACAATCATGATGACTACAATCATGATGACTACAATGACGATGATGACTACAATGATTGTGACTACAATGATGATGACTACAATGATGATGATGACTACAATGATGATGATGACTACAATGATGATGACTACAATGATGATGATGACTACAATGATGATGATGACTACAATGATGATGACTACAATGATGATGAATACAATGATGATGACTACAATGATGATGACTACAATGATGATGACTACAATGATGATGAATACAATGATGATGACTACGATGACGATGACTACGATGATTATGACTACGATGATGATGACTATGATGATGATGACTATAATGATGATGACTACGACGATAATGACTACGATGATGATGACTATGATGATGATGACTATAATGATGATGACTACAATGATGATGACTACAATGATGATGAATACGATGATGATGACTACGACGATGATGACTATAATGATGATGACTACGACGATGATGACTACGATGATTATGACTACGATGACGATGATGATGACTATAATGATGATGACTACAATGATGATGACTACGATGATGATGACTACAATGATGATGACTACAATGATGATGACTACGATGATTATGACTACGATGATGATGACTATGATGATGATGATGATGACTACGATGACGATGACTACAATGACGATGACTACGATGACGATGACTACGATGACGATGACTATGATGATGATGACTACAATGACGATGACTACAATGATGATGACTACGATGACGATGACTACAATGATGATGACTACGATGATTATGACTACAATGATGATGACTACAATGATGATGACTACAATGATAATGACTACAATGACGATGACTACAATGAGGATGACTACAATGACGATGACTACGATGATGATGACTATGATGATGACTACAATGATGATGACTACAATGATGATGACTACAATGATGGTGACTACATTGATGATGACTACAATGATGATGACTACGATGACGATGACTACAATGACGATGACTACAATGATGACTACGATGACGATGACTACAATGATGATGACTACAATGATGATGACTACAATGATGATGACTACGATGACGATGACTACAATGATGATGACTACAATGACGATGACTACAATGACGATGACTACAATGATGATGACTACGACTATGATGATTACGACGATGACGACTACAATGATGATGACTACAATGACGATGACTACAATGACGATGACTACAATGATAATGATTACAATGATGATGACTACATTGATGATGACTACGATGACGGTGACTACGATGATGATGACTACGATGATGATGACTACAATGATGATGACTACGATGATGATGACTACGATGATGATGACTACAATGATGACTACAATGACGATGACTACAATGATGATGACTACGACTATGATGATTACGACGATGACGACTACAATGATGATGACAACAATGACGATGACTACAATGACGATGACTACAATGATAATGATTACAATGATGATGACTACATTGATGATGACTACGATGATGATGACTACAATGACGATGACTACGATGACGATGACTACAATGATGACTACAATGACGATGACTACAATGATGATGACTATGATGATGATGACTACGATGATGATGACTACAATGATGACTACAATGACGATGACTACAATGATGATGATTACAATGATGATGACTACAATGATGATGACTACGATGATGATGACTACGACGATGATGATTACGACGATGACGAGCTGCCTTAAACAAACCGCAACAGCAACAACAACAACGACCAGAGATGCAGCCTTCTTTAGAGCCTTGTCTCAGCAGCGTCAGAGCAGAGAACGACGCCAAAAGGCGAACAGCACAGAGACAATGCCACTATCAGGGCATTGAGAGCTCGGGGTGAGCAGCTACAACATGGGATCTCTTTTGCCAGTGTCGTCTAACATCATTTGTCCCATCCGTATGGGATCGAGCGTTGCCTCCTCGCATGCGCTGGGTTTTTCCAGGCGCTCCGGTTTGCTCCCGCGTGTATAAACAATGCTCGCTGGCAGGCTGGAAACATCTTAATACGTGGAGATCTGTAGAGCAAAGGTATACCGATAGGTTTCACCCTGTCTGGCAATAAATCACTGGCAGGAAAGGTCTCACATTGCAGAACAACGGTTGACAGTGCGCGACCATCCCCTCGTAGCCTTCCAGCTTGGTCTGTGGTTCCACAGCGGCGATTGTGAGATGCAATTGTCACGAACGATGCCGCGGTTTAAAATTAATCACGAGGTCTGTTGCCTTGTTTGTTATAACGACCGTAATTATTCAACCATCACCAACATCACCATTGTCATCATCATCGACATCACCAGCTTTGTCACCATGATCATCAGTCGTCAAGATCATCATCATCATCACCACCACCACTGTTATCAGCAGCAGCTGCAGTCGATGCGTCCCAGTCAACCTAAACTCGACTAAAAACTAAAATATTTCGGTGAGGCCCACCCAACTGTTCTGTAGCTCTTGCTCAGAAGCGACCGGGCGGTCACAAATGGCTGCACAACAATGATGACGACTCCCAGTCACGTGGAAACTGATCGCAGCCAAATACTCCAAACGCGTGACGTCGATTCCAGATGCGGAGGGGAAAAACCGGAGGACCCCGATAAAAATCCACGCGACCACGGTGAGAGAGAGAGACACGCGCAAACTCCAAATGTACAGCAGCAGGCCTCGTGCTCGGGATCGAACCCGCGACCTCCCGTAGACCAGGCGAGAGGGAGAGAGCATCTCCTCGCCACCGCGGTGCAATCACCTGAAAGCGTCGGTGGGAAACTTGAGCCGGTGTTCATTACTGGGCATCAGCTGCTCGCGCAGACACAGGGCGACAGCCGAGCGGGCGTTAGGGCCACGCGGCGACGCAACGGGGACACGGCACCATCTCTCTCACCATCTCTCTCACCCCGTCTCTCTCACCGTCTCTCTCACCGTCTCGCTCACCGTATCTCTCACCATCTCTCTCACCCCGTCTCTCTCACCGTCTCTCTCACCGTCCCTCTCACCATCTCTCTCACCCCGTCTCTCTCACCATATCTCTCACCGACCCTCTCACCGTCTCTCTCACCGTCTCTCTCACCCCGTCTCTCTCACCATATCTCTCACCGTCTCTCTCACCATCTCTCTCACCGTCTCTCTCACCGTCTCTCTCACCCCGTCTCTCTCACCGTCTCTCACCTCGTCTCTCTCACCCCGTCTATCTCTCACCGTCTCTCACTCCGTCTCTCACCGTCTCTCTCACCCCGTCTCCCTCACCGTCTCTCTCACCCCGTCCCTCTCACCATCTCTCTCACCATCTCTCTCACCCCGTCTCTCTCACCATCTCTCTCACCGTCTCTCTCACCCCGTCCCTCTCACCATCTCTCTCACCCCGTCTCTCTCACCATCTCTCTCACCGTCTCTCTCACCGTCTCTCTCACCATCTCACTCACCGTCTCTCTCACCGTCTCTCTCACCGTCTCGCTCACCGTCTCTCTCACCGTCTCTCACCATCTCTCTCACCCCGTCTCTCACCATCTCGCTCACCGTCTCTCTCACCGTCTCTCTCACCCCGTCTCTCTCACCATCTCTCACCCCGTCTCTCTCACCATCTCTCTCACCATCTCTCTCACCCCGTCCCTCTCACCATCTCCCTCACCGTCTCTCTCATCGTCTCTCTCACCCCGTCTCTCTCACCATCTCTCTCACCATCTCTCTCACCCCGTCTCTCTCACCATCTCTCACCCCGTCTCTCTCACCGTCTCTCTCACCGTCGCTCTCACCGTCTATCTCACCATCTCTCTCACCATCTCCCTCACCCCGTCTCTCTCACCGTCTCTCTCACCGTCTCGCTCACCGTCTCTCTCACCGTCTCTCACCATCTCTCTCACCCCGTCTCTCTCACCAGCTCTCTCACCGTCTCTCTCACCCCGTCTCTCTCACCATCTCTCTCACCCCGTCTCTCTCACCATCTCTCTCGCCATCTCTCTCACCCCGTCTCTTTCACCAGCTCTCTCACCGTCTCTCTCACCGTCTCTCTCACCCCGTCTCTCTCACCATCTCCCTCACCATCTCCCTCACCCCGTCTCTCTCACCATCTCTCACCCCGTCTCTCTCACCGTCTCTCTCACCGTCTCTCTCACCGTCTCTCTCACCATCTCTCTCACCATCTCTCTCACCGTCTCTCTCACCGTCCCTCTCACCGTCTCTCTCACCATCTCTCTCACCGTCTCTCTCACCGTCTCTCTCACCCCGTCTCTCTCACCATCTCTCTCACCCCGTCTCTCTCACCATCTCTCTCACCATCTCTCACACCCCGTCTCTCTCACCCCGTCACTCTCACCATCTCTCACCCCGTCTCTCTCACCGTCTCTCTCACCGTCTCTCTCACCGTCTATCTCACCATCTCTCTCACCATCTCCCTCACCCCGTCTCTCTCACCGTCTCTCTCACCGTCTCTCTCACCGTCTCTCTCACCGTCTCGCTCACCGTCTCTCTCACCGTCTCTCACCATCTCTCTCACCCCGTCTCTCTCACCAGCTCTCTCACCGTCTCTCTCACCCCGTCTCTCTCACCATCTCTCTCACCCCGTCTCTCTCACCATCTCTCTCGCCATCTCTCTCACCCCGTCTCTTTCACCAGCTCTCTCACCGTCTCTCTCACCGTCTCTCTCACCCCGTCTCTCTCACCATCTCCCTCACCATCTCCCTCACCCCGTCTCTCTCACCATCTCTCACCCCGTCTCTCTCACCGCCTCTCTCACCGTCTCTCTCACCGTCTCTCTCACCGTCTCTCTCACCATCTCTCTCACCATCTCTCTCACCCCGTCTCTCTCACCGTCTCTCTCACCGTCTCTCTCACCGTCTCTCACCATCTCTCTCACCCCGTCTCTCTCACCATCTCTCTCACCGTCTCTCTCACCGTCTCTCTCACCCCGTCTCTCTCACCATCTCTCTCACCCCGTCTCTCTCACCATCTCTCTCACCATCTCTCTCACCGTCTCTCTCACCCCGTCTCTCTCACCGTCTCTCTCACCCCGTCTCTCTCACCGTCTCTCTCACCATCTCTCTCACCCCGTCTCTCTCACCCCATCTCTCTCACCATCTCTCTCACCATCTCTCTCACCGTCTCTCTCACCCGTCTCTCTCACCGTCTCTCTCACCCCGTCTCTCTCACCCCGTCTCTCTCACCCTCTCTCTCTCACCATCTCTCTCACCCCGTCTCTCTCACCCCGTCTCTCTCACCCTCTCTCTCTCACCATCACTCTCACCCCGTCTCTCTCACCCTCTCTCTCTCACCATTTCTCTCACCGTCTCTCTCACCATCTCTCTCACCGTCTCTCTCACCGTCTCTCTCACCATCTCTCTCACCCCGTCTCTCTCACCATCTCTCTCACCGTCTATCTCACCATCTCTCTCACCCCGTCTCTCTCACCATCTCTCTCACCCCGTCTCTCTCACCGTCTCTCTCACCATCTCTCTCACCCCATCTCTCTCACCATCTACCTCACCGTCTCTCTCACCGTCTCTCTCACCCTCTCTCTCACCCCGTCACTCTCACCCTCTCTCTTTCACCATCTCTCTCACCGTCTCTCTCACCCCGTCTCTCTCACCCCGTCTCTCTCACCCTCTCTCTCTCACCATCTCTCTCACCCCGTCTCTCTCACCCCGTCCCTCTCACCCTATCTCTCTCACCCCGTCTCTCTCACCCCGTCTCTCTCACCGTCTCTCTCACCATCTCTCTCACCATCTCTCTCACCGTCTCTCTCACCATCTCTCTCACCCCGTCTCTCTCACCATCTCTCTCACCGTCTCTCTCACCATCTCTCTCACCCCGTCTCTCTCACCATCTCTCTCACCCCGTCTCTCTCACCGTCTCTCTCACCATCTCTCTCACCCCATATATCTCACCGTCTCCCTCACCGTCTCTCTCACCGTCTCTCTCACTCTCTCTCTCACCATCTCTCTCACCCCGTCTCTCTCACCCTCTCTCTCTCACCATCTCTCTCACCGTCTCTCTCACCATCTCTCTCACCCCATCTCTCTCACCATCTCCCTCACCGTCTCTCTCACCATCTCTCTCACCCCGTCTCTCTCACCCTCTCCCTCTCACCATCTCTCTCACCGTCTCTCTCACCATCTCTCTCACCCCATCTCTCTCACCATCTCCCTCCCCGTCTCTCTCACCGTCTCTCTCACTCTCTCTCTCTCACCACATCTCTCACCCCGTCTCTCTCACCCGCTTTCTCTCACCATCTCTCGCACCGTCTCTCTCACCCCGTCTCTCTCACCCCGCCTCTCTCACCCTCTCTCTCTCACCATCTCTCTCACCCCGTCTCTCTCACCCTCTCTCTCTCACCATCTCTCTCACCGTCTCTCTCACCCCGTCTCTCTCACCCCGTCTCTCTCACCCTCTCCCTCACCGTCTCTCTCACCATCTCTCTCACCCCGTCTCTCTCACCCTCTCCCTCTCACCATCTCTCTCACCGTCTCTCTCACCATCTCTCTCACCCCATCTCTCTCACCATCTCCCTCCCCGTCTCTCTCACCGTCTCTCTCACTCTCTCCCTCTCACCACATCTCTCACCCCGTCTCTCTCACCCGCTTTCTCTCACCATCTCTCGCACCGTCTCTCTCACCCCGTCTCTCTCACCCCGTCTCTCTCACCCTCTCTCTCTCACCATCTCTCTCACCCCGTCTCTCTCACCCTCTCTCTCTCACCATCTCTCTCACCGTCTCTCTCACCCCGTCTCTCTCACCCCGTCTCTCTCACCCTCTCTCTCTCACCATCTCTCTCACCGTCTCTCTCACCCCGTCTCTCTCACCCCGTCTCTCTCACCCCGTCTCTCTCACCCTCTCTCTCTCACCGTCTCCCTCACCCTCTCTCTCTCACCATCTCTCTCACCCCGTCTCTCTCACCCCGTCTCTCTCACCCTCTCTCTCTCACCGTCTCTCTCACCATCTCTCTCACCCCGTCTCTCTCTCCATCTCTCTCACCATCTCCCTCACCCCGTCCCTCTCACCGTCTCTCTCACCGTCTCTCTCACCATCTCACTCACCATCTCTCTCACCCCGCCCCTCTCACCGTCTCTCTCACCGTCTTCTCACCGTCTCCCTCACCATCTCTCTCACCATCTCTCTCACCATCTCTCTCACCATCTCTCTCACCGTCTCTCTCACCATCTCTCTCACCGTCTCTCTCACCGTCTCTCTCACCATCTCTCTCACCCCGTCTCTCTCACCGTCTCTCTCACCGTCTCTCTCACCGGCGAGCAGTACCGCGCCACCGCGGCGCCAGCGGCCGCCGCCGCCGCCGCGGCGCTCGTGGCCTCGTCCCAGCAGCGGAACGTCCGCATCGCCCCGCGGGCCGCCCCTCCGAGCGCCGGGTAGCATGCCGGCAGCGACTCCGTCTCGTCGGCCATCCAGGCGTGCTCCCGCGCGATGTCGGCCTGCGAGCCTCCCCCCCTCCCGCCCGCCGCCGTCGACGTCTCGGCCAGCAGGCGGGACAGCCGCTCGAGCGAGGCCCTCGCCCCGAGGCCCAGCATGACGTCGGGCGGCGGGGCGCCGTTGCCGCCCGGCTCGGACGACGAGGGGAGGCCGCGGCCCGCGTCGCCGCCGCCGCCGCCGTTCTTCTCCGGCTTCCGGCAGTACGTGGTCTCGGCGGCGCGGCAGTTGTAGGTGCGAATCTCCTTGTTCTCGCGCTTGCACACGACGGCCACCGCCACCATGGTGATGAGCAGCACCGAGCAGACGGCCGCGAGCGCCACGATGAGGATGAGCGGCAGCCCCATGAAGAGGCCGCCGCCGTCGCCGTCGCCGTCGTCGCCGTCGTCGCCGTCCCGGTGGTGGCGCGCGGGGATGATGTCGGTGAGGACGACGTGGATGGTGGCCAGCGACGACAGCGACGGCTTGCCGTGGTCCCTCACCTCCAGCAGCAGCTCGTGGCTGGCGCGGTCGCCCTCCGCGAAGTCGCGCGTCGTCGCCAGCTCGCCCGTGTCCCCGTCGAGGCGGAAGAGGCCCCCGTCGTTGCCGCGCAGCAGGCGGAAGGCGAGCTTCCCGTTGTCCCCGGGGTCCTCGTCGACGGCCTGGATCCTGACGAGCTGCGCCTCGGCGGGCGTGCTCCACAGCGCGTACACCGTGGCGTTGCCGCGCCGGAGCCGCGGCTTGGAGACGGCGGGCGCGTTGTCGTTGCGGTCCAGCACGTCGACGGCGACGGTGGCCGTGGCGCTGAGCGCCGGCGCGCCGTGGTCCCGCGCCACCACCTCGAAGCTCAGCGCCTGCAGCCTCTCGTGGTCGAAGGGCCGCAGCGCGCGCACCTCGCCGCTCCGCTCGTCCACCGACACCAGCGCCGCCGCGGGCAGCCCGCCGGCCTCGCCCGCGCCGATCGAGTAGCTCACGCGGCCGTTCTCGCCGTCGTCGGGGTCGCGCGCCGACACGGCGAGGATCGGCGCGTTGGCCGCGTTGTTCTCCGACAGGGACGCGCGGTACGACGGCGCGCCGAACCGCGGCGCGTTGTCGTTCTCGTCGGCGACGATCACCACGATCTCCTTGGAGGAGGCGAGCGGCGGGCGCCCGGCGTCGCGCGCCACCACCGTCACGCCGTGGCGGCCGGCGCGCTCGCGGTCGAGGGCGTCGCTCGTGACGAGCGCGAAGCCGTTCTCGAAGGACGGCCGCAGCGCGAAGGGCCCCGCGCCCCGCAGGAAGCACTCCACCCGCCCGTTGTCGCCCGCGTCGCCGTCCGCCACGCGCACGAACGCCACGAACGAGCCGGGCGGGCGCGACTCCCCGACGGTGACGACCGCGACGTCCGGGGAAGACGGCGCGCCGGCTGCCCCGGCTGCCCCGGCTGCCCCGGCTGCCCCGGCTGCCCCGGCTCCGCCGCCGTCGTTCGGCGCCGAGACGAATATCTCCGGCGCGTTGTCGTTGTCGTCCAGCACGGCGACCGTCACCTTGCAGTGCGCCGCCACGCCGTCGGGGCCCATGTCGCGCGCCTCCACGTACAGCTCCTCGACGGCGCGCCGCTCGCGGTCCAGCGGCGCCGCGAGCCGCACGGCGCCCGAGAGCGGCTCGACGGAGAAGAGGCGGCGCGCCCGCTCGCCCGCGTGCCGGCTCAGCGCGTACGCCACGCGCCCGTTGGTGCCCTCGTCCGGGTCGACGGCTCGCACGCGCGCCACCTCGGTGCCCGGCGGCGCGCCCTCCCGCACCTGGGACGACACGGGTGGGGTGGGGGCGAGGGTACGGGAGGGCGACCGTCAATCGCCGGCATCGTCTCGAGCCCCACGGATTTCCGCGAGGCTCAACCGGGACGCGTGCAGCCACGCCGGGGCTCGGCCCGACTCGGGGAGTCGTTTTTTCCACCGCGGAAAACCGAGCCGTGCCACGACTTCACGAACTTCTTTTGCACCGTGCGTAGCCGGCCGTGCTAATCGAACACACGGTATCTGTGCGTGATCCACCAACCATGGCTGCTGCTGCCTGCGAGCGCTGGATCACTACAGGTGTAGCCACCACCACCTGCCGCCGCCCGGTGACGTGCTCCCTTAACTCCAATCAACCAGCGACCCGTGAGAGAAAATAAATATTCAGCTATAAATTAAGATGATGTCATCGCTCGCCGAACGACGCTGGCTACTCCGGCGTGACACAGCGCCGGAGTAATTAATCACGACAGGAAGCTGTCTCTCGTCCGCACATTTGTGGTGTTTTGTTTGCAGAAAATGACGACGACCTAGGAAGTAGGCGGAGTGATTCACGTCTCTGAATGAGGATCGTGACGAAGGCCACGCGATTCATCATCGGCCCACGATGGGGGGGGCGAAGTCGGGGGTGCGGGAAGTGTGTCGTCACCACGAGCGGATTCACACGGCGCGCGTTTCGAGGAACGAGACGCGAGTGGGAAGAAGGTCAAAGCCTGCGATGGCCAGCTGAGCGATGGGAGGAAGTGGCCGCTACGGCCCTCTCCCGGCGACCCTTGCTGCGCCCGCTATGGCCGCCTACGGCAGTGTTTCTGCATTGCGAGGCCCGCGGGGCCACCGGGCGGCCCCTGACGTGCGGCACCCCGACAATGCACAACACGCGTGGCGGCCCCTCGCACCGTTGATGTCTTATCGGCGAAAGTGCCCCCCCCCTGAAATTGAGTGTGGAACGCTGGCGCGCTCCACGGTCCCCGGACTGGAGGACAAAATCGTCGCTCTGGGAACTCCCTGGACAGCAGCCTGCAGGCTGCAGGCAGCAGCAGGCAGCAGGCTGCAGGTAGCAGGCAGCAGGCCGCTACTTGCTGCCTGCAGGCTGCAGGCAGCAGCAGGCAGCTACCTGCTGCGACTTCCAGCGAGATGTCCGCACGGACCTGATCGTTCGACGCTACAGCGGCTCGAGTGGGAGGAGCTGCTGCTGCCTGCTGCTGCTGCTACTGCCTGCTGCTGCCTGCTGCTACCTGCTGCTGGCTGCCTGCTGAAACAGCGATAGCTCGGCTGACGTGGATTTGCGCCGGGTGGAGAAGGTGTGTTACGGGACACACGCACGCGCTAGTGGTTTTTTTTTGCTTGCTCCGCGGCGGTCAGACCCAACCGAACGAAAGAATTACGAATCCGCTTGCAGTCGTTTGGTCAATCCATTGCTGGATGAAGGCCTTCCCCCATGCCGTGCCGAATCAGGAATCCATCTCAGGTTTTAAGTCGGTCCCGCGCATTGCGTAGCGGCAGAGCGGCCGCATCTCCGCGACGGATTCCTGCCAAGTTTGCTACGCTGCCTTGCGGGCCTTCGTCTGACCCTGGGAGTGGCGCGCCGAGCCACGGCCACACCGAGAGATGAGGCTCATCCGTGCCTGCTGCGACGCAAGCAGGCACGGATGAGTGGGATGAAGCGATAGATAAACAGCGTACTAGAGAGATGAGAGAGAGAGAGACCTCGAGGGGCCTAGATAGAGATCAGCGAGATGAAACAACAGATAAACAAGAGAGAGAGAGGGGGAGGGGAGAAGGGGGGTTGCTGAGCCCCAAGCGTCGAGATGTCGCGACGCCGGCTCCCTGACGTGCCGCCTGCGGCCGCTTTCTGTGACGCTGCCCGCGGGAGAATCTGGCCCCCCCCCCGCCCACCGTACAATAAAGGGCGTGCGGTTAATTGTGTCGTAGCATCATCGGCACCGCCGCCCAACGCTGCCTCTGCTTTCCCCACCCCCTCCTGCCCCTTTATGAAGGCCGGCACGGCAACACGACTGGGTGGCCTCCCCTGGCGGCGATGTTTTACGACACACCGCACCAGGGGAGGCCCACGGATCGGTTCAGCGAATCGTCACCGTTGCCGGTGGTGGCCGGCGATCGGGAATCGGACTGGGGTCTCTGCCGAGCCGCCGCTTCCCGGGCGCAGGGGTCAGAGATAGGGGTCGTGGGGTCAGAGATAGGGGTCGTGGGGTCAAAGATAGGGGTCGTGGGGTCAGAGATAGGGGTCGTGGGGTCAAAGATAGGGGTCGTGGGGTCAGAGATAGGGGTCGTGGGGTCAGAGACAGGGCTCGTGGGGTCAGAGACAGGGGTCATGGGGTCAGAGACAGGGCTCGTGGGGTCACGGTCAGCGAGTGGTGCCCCACCTCGACGTGGTAGTGCGGCCGCTCGAAGGCCGGCGCGTTGTCGTTGGCGTCCAGCACGCGCACCACGACGCCGCACACGCCCACCCGCGCCGGGGAGCCGCCGTCCGTGGCCGTGAGGCGCAGCCGGTGCTCGGCCTCCCGCTCGCGGTCCAGCGGCCTGCGCAGCACCAGCTCGGGGAACCCTCCCCCGCCATCTCCGTCTCCGCCGTCTCCGCCGTCGTCGCCGTCGTCGTCGTCGTCGTCGTCGCCACGGGACACCCTCAGGTAGAAGGCGTCGCTGGCGTTGAGGGCGTAGCGCAGGCGCGCGTTGGGCCCCGCGTCGGCGTCGTGGGCCGCGGGCAGCGCGAAGCGCGTCCCGGGCCGCGCCGACTCGGACACGGCGACCCGGGCGCAGCCTTCTTCTTCTTCTTCGCCGCCGCCGTCGCCGTCGCCGTCGTCGTCGCCGTCGTCGTCGTCGCGCCGCAAGCGAGGTTCGAAACGCGGCGCGTTGTCGTTCACGTCCAGGATGTCGAGCACCACGCGCACCGCCGAGCGCCGCGGCCTCTCCAGCACGGCGTCGAGCGCCACGGAGCACGCCGCCGGCTCGCCCCCCCCGCCGGCGGCGACGGCGGCGGCGGCGGGACCTCCGACGGCGGCCGCCGCCGCGGCCGCGCCGGCGGAGAGAGACGACGGCGGCGGCGGCGGGGCGACTTGGGCGGCCGCGGCGGGGCAGAGGGCCTCGCGGTCGAGGCGGCCCAGCGACACGAGCTCGCCCGTGGCCTCGCGCAGGCGAACGAGGAGGCGCGGCGAGGAGGAGGCGGCGGCGCCGTGGCCAGGCGGCGGCGGCGGAAGCAGCCGGAATCCGCGGTCGCGAAGCTCTCGTGGCGTCAGCCCCAGGGCCTGGGCCAGGCTGCCCAGCACGGAGCCGGGCGGCTGCTCCTCCGGCACCTGGCGAGGGCGGACGCGAGGGGGGAGGGCCGGCGGGGTGGTTGAGAGGCGCCAGGCCGCCGCTGACCCAGCCGTTGGGTTCTAATCCAGCCAATGGATGGGATGGGCTGCGCGAGTCTGAAGTACCTCCTCTGGCCTAGTGATTACCTTTGGGCAAGCCAAATGAAATCTGCGATGCACGTCGGATTGCTGTTGACAGTTCCCCAGATGTCGCACGCGATTTGGATGGTAATTTTTTTTTTTACGCAGCTACTGCTGCCCCAAAAGTCTTTGGAATCCACCCGGTTTGGTTTCTTGGCATCTCCATTCTGCTGCCATCTCTCTCCTCGTTGCAACTGACTCTACGGTTAAAATCACTAAAGTCTGAGCGTGAAAGTAATCTTACAACCAAATTGCTATTATTATTATTATCCAGTTGTTTTATTTAAATCTGTAAACTGTGGAATGCTTTCATGTTGCCCGACAGCCGAATCACCCCTTCAAAACAGAGATTCTTAGCTCAATGGGCTTTCCAGGGAACCACAGTGGTGAGATGTTAACTACCTCGCCTGGTATGCAGGAGGTTGTGGGTCCGATCCCAACCCTGCTGCTGTATATTTGGAGTTTGCGTGTCTCTCTCCCCGTGGTCACGTAGATTTTTTTCCCCGGGTCCTCCGATTTTTCTCTCCACATTTAAAAAACGTGCATTGAGGTTGTTTTGATTATTTTGCCGCTGTAAATGTTCAAGTGATGGGCCACGTGGTTTAAACTCTCATTTGTGGCCAGGTCGCTTCTGATAAATGAGCGAATACTTTAGTGGCCCTTATCTGGTAAATTCGACATCGTTAAATAGTAATAGTCATAACATTTATGATTCTGATGCACGTGGGTTGAACTTAGTTCAACACCGCACATAACGAACCGTGCTAATCTGTGGGGGGAGTGGGGGGGGGGGGCGGGGGGGCCCGTGGGGGGGGGGGCTCGTGCTCAGAATCGAACCTGGAGTCGTAGTTCCGTGTGGCTGGCGTGGCAGCAGAGGAGCGTCGCGAGGCAGAGGGACACGAGGCGGAGTCCCCGGACTGTCATCGCTCTCCCTGGAGAGCGGGGAGAGAGGGGGGGGTAGAGAGAGAGGGGGGTAGAGAGAGAGAGAGGGGGGTAGAGAGAACAGGGGGGGGTAGAGAGAGAGGGGGGGTAGAGAGGGGGGTAGAGAGAGCGGGGGGGGGGGTAGAGAGAGAGGGGGGGTAGAGAGAGAGAGGGGGGTAGAGAGAGAGAGGGGGGTAGAGAGAGAGGGGGGGGGGGGAGAGAGAGAGGGGGGTAGAGAGAGCGGGGGGTAGAGAGAGGGGGGTAGAGAGAGAGGGGGGTAGAGAGAGCGGGGGGTAGAGAGAGAGAGGGGAGGTAGAGGGAGAGAGGGGGGGGTAGAGAGAGAGAGGGGGGTAGAGAGAGAGGGGGGGTAGAGAGAGAGGGGGGTAGAGAGAGAGGGGGGGGTAGAGAGAGGGGGGGTAGAGAGAGGGGGGGGAGAGAGGGGGGGGGGTAGAGAGAGCGGGGGGGGGGGGTAGAGAGAGAGGGAAGGGGTAAGAAGGAGGAGAGCAGAGCGTGAAATCTTTTGTGAAATCTTTCATTTAAACAGGGGGGGGGAGCGCGCAAAGCATTGAAAAAAAACTTTAAAAAACGAAATGATGAACGAAGCAAAGTGCCGACTACACCGAGCATCTTCTTGTTTCCTCTGATCGTAAACAAAAGGAGGGAGAGAGGTGAAGGAGCGAGGGGAGGAAGGGAGGGAGCGAGGGGAGGGAGGGAGAGATGGAGAGTGAGAGAGGGAAGATTAACTTGGACTAAGCCCCAACAATTCCAGCCCTCCCTCCCTCCCCGTGTGTGTTGTGACAACAGCGCGCGCGCTCTGCAGCCGTCCGTCTCCGCGGAGTGAGAAGGAGCGAGCGCCGCCCCACCCTGCTCCACCCTGCTTCACCCATCCGTTCATGCGTTTTTATTGTCGCATTGCCCCCAAGGTGGCGGGGCAAGCCACTGTGGAGTGGGTAATGGGCCCTGTTGTAATCCGAGCAGAGAGCCACGTCTATGCGAGTCGTGGGAGGTGAGCTGTGTAGTAGCTAACTATGTAGTAGCTACTACCTATGTAGCTACATAGTACATAGTAGCTACATAGTAGGTAGTAGCTACTACATAATTAGCTACATGTAGCTACATGTGTAGTAGCTAACTATGTAGTAGCTACTACCTATGTAGCTTCATAGTACATAGTAGCTACATAGGTAGTAGCTACTACATAATATGTAGTAGCTACTACCTATATACATGTATAGTAGCTACTACACGTGTAGTAGTAGCTACTACACGTGTAGTAGTGTAGTAGTAGCTACTATGCATGTGGTAGTTACTACTACACGTGCTACACATGTAGTAGTAGCTACTAGTAGCTACGTGTAGTAGTACTACTATCGTGCTACAGGCTACTACTACACGTGTAGTAGTAGCTACTACACGTGTAGTAGTGTAGTAGTAGCTACTATGCATGTGGTAGCTACGGGCCCCGCACTTTCAAGGGCCCCGCGCTAAATGCTTTCAAGCCGTCAATTCCGGTTCAGCGATTCTGCACTTGCTCTATTACTATAGTACTATACCGCCTTCAACTTTTATGAACGACTGGGTGTTTAAGGTTAGCGATTTATCGTATTATCCGGCTGTATATCACATGACAAAATACAATTACTTTACTATGCAAGTTAATAATTTGTGTTTTAATATTTACGTTTTTTTTTTATTAAGGGCCACTTTATAACATCGTGCTACAGGCCCCGCATTAGCTTCATCCGGCACTCGGGAGGCATGTGTTGATGGTTGCGTGATGAATGTTGGAGGTGGACGAGGTGACATGTGTAGGTGGGTAGGTGGGTGGGTGTAGAGATGGGCAGATAGGCGAGTTGACATGTGGGTGGGTGGATAGGTTGGTAAGTCTGTAGGTGGGTGGCTTGGTAAGTACGTGGGTGGGTGGATAGGTTGGTAAGTCTGTAGGTGGGTGGCTTGGTAAGTACGTAGGTGGGTGGATAGGTTGGTAAGTCTGTAGGTGGGTGGCTTGGTAAGTACGTGGGTGGGAGGATAGGTTGGTAAGTCTGTAGGTGGGTGGCTTGGTAAGTACGTGGTTGGGTGGATAGGTTGGTTGCTAAGTAAGTGGACTGGTGAATGGGTAGGTGTGTGGGTAGGTTGGGGAAAGTGCTGTTAGCGAGTAGCAGCACCTATGAAGGCCGGCACGACACACGGGGGGTGGGTGGCCAGCACCACGCCACCTTTGTCTTCCGGGCCGCGATGTTTACGACACACAGCACCAGGTACTCATTTGAGGCTGAGTCGACCTAGGGGAGGCCCACGACCGGGTCAGATAATATAATCGTCACTTAGTGTTGGTGGCCGTGAGCGGGAATCGAACTCGGGTCGCCGGGTTCGTAGCGCTGACCGCTACAAGACCGCTCCACCCACGCGTGCAGTGTCCCACACCGTGTCACAGACATGCCCATCATCATCATAAATAATAATAACCACAGACATAATTCCCACACCATGACTCTTCGTCAGCACTGATTGAATTTGGCGCAGCATTGTGCATTGTTCCCGTTCAAGAAAGCCACTCAATGTAAGCCCAAAGGTTGTCGCGACGCGAGCCTTTGACTGGAGAAATACTCGTGAAGATTAACTCTGCAGTTAGGGGATCGCACCTCGACACTGTGCTCAGAGTCACTGTGTGTGTGTGACTGTGTGTGTGACTGTGAGTGTGACTGTGTGTGTGACTGTGTGTGTGTGACTGTGTGTGTGTGACTGTGTGTGTGACTGTGAGTGTGTGACTGTGTGACTGTGTGAGTGTGACTGTGTGTGACTGTGTGTGTGTGTGACTGTGTGTGTGACTGTGTGTGTGACTGTGTGTGTGACTGTGTGTGTGTGACTGTGTGTGTGTGACTGTGTGTGTGACTGTGAGTGTGTGACTGTGTGACTGTGTGAGTGTGACTGTGTTTGACTGTGTGTGTGTGTGACTGTGTGTGTGACTGTGTGTGTGACTGTGTGTGTGTAACTGTGTGTGTGTGACTGTGTGTGTGACTGTGTGTGTGTGACTATGTGTGTGACTGTGTGTGTGACTGTGTGTGTGACTGTGTATGTGTAACTGTGTGTGTGTGACTGTGTGTGTGACTGTGTGTGTGTGACTATGTGTGTGTATGACTGTGTATGTGTAACTGTGTATGTGTAACTGTGTGTGTGTGACTGTGTGTGCATGACTGCCTCGCGCGCTGCGCTATGAACCTGGCGACCTGGGTTCGATTCCCGCTCACGGCCAACACCAGTGACGATTATCTGAACCGGTCCCGGGCCTCCCCTAGGTCGACTCAGCCTCAAATGAGTACCTGGTGCGGTGTGTAAACATCGCGACTAGGGAGACAAAGGCGGTCGGGCGTGGTGCTAGCCACCCACCCCCTCGTGTACCGTTCCGGCCTTCATAAGTGCTCGCTAACAGCACTTGCCCCAGCAGTCTGTTAAAGGCTACACGGGGGATCTTTGTCTTTGCTGACCGCGTGTGTTCTGTGACAGCCGAGGGGCGGTGGATGTCACGTATAGAGACGTTTGCTCGCTGCTGTAATTTCGACGTCAGTCGCGAGCTCTTTACAGCCAATGCCTCGCTCACATTTCAACACTTCTTTTCTCAAAAGCGGACAAGTGGCTCTAGGCTATGAACGATATAATAACAATTATTATAGTATTATAATGATAATCACGTGCTTCATGCGTCACAGAATGTGTGGATCGCCGCACTCGAGCGATGCCACGCCACGTGGTCATCGGAGTCGTCTGTTTTTTTTGGTGTGAGCGGCACTGAATGACGCGGGTGCTTTTATATCGTAATTGTAGCCGCTTGTTTAGCTACCAACAGCAACAAGGAAAAAGAAACGAAATAAAAAAAATCCTGGCTAAATATTTGTGGGATTAAAACAAACGACGATTAAAATCCGTAAATAAGTAGCTGTTACCGATTAGTCAGACTGTGTATTTATACCGCAGGAAGAATCCGATGAGCTATGAAGCTCTTTTTCACACATGTCCAGGCCATGGGCGAGTCATAAAGTAACGCCAACAAACAGTTAAAAAAACACCAAAGTATCATCATCATCATTAGACCTCCTTTGCCAGTACCAAAATGTAATAATAGGGTTTTCCCCTTTCTTCTGGCAACAAAACTGAAACCTTTTTTACAAGGATTCATATCGCTGCATTAACCACAATACCTGCAGTCATCTGGTCGAGCACCAATTGGGTCGAGGCTCAAAAGAAAGCCGTCCCTTGGTGTGGACCAATCAGTTTCAAGGACAATGCATATATTATCATAGTATGTTTTTTTGTTTGCATTTTGACTGCAGGTATTGTGGTTAATGCAGACATGAATCCTTGTAAAAAGGTTTCAGTTTTGTTGCCAGAAAAAAGGGGAAAACCCCCTATTATTATAACACCAAAGTAGTTGCAAAGTAAAAGAGAGTTAAGCGCATCGCAATGTGTTTTTTGAGTGTACTATATTTTTATTTTACAAAGTAAAGCCGATTTCACCACTCCGATGAGCGCGGTTGGCTACGCACGGCGCTGAAAGAAGTGCAACCTTCATGCATCAGAATCAGGCGTCTATTAACTGTTATTACTATTTAACGATGTTTCTTTTTGCCAGGCGTAAGACCCCCCACTGAGCTGTACCGCTCTGTTTTTGCAGAAGCGACCCATCACAAATTAAGAGCTCGACCAAATGGCTAATCGCGTGGACATTGAAACAATGCGGATCATTTAAATTCGCGCTCTACAACAAACCAACAAGACTCGCTGGAGCAAAATATCGGCCTGGCGGTTGTATCCTGAGAACAGGACATGTGGACATCACAGAGTTTCACAGCTCATTGGATTCCTCCAGCATTCATGGATATTCTGATTCTGACAGCATCGAAATATCTCGAGGGCTCTGAACTGACAGTCACGTGTGCCCTGTAGCAGCGTGCCCTTTGTAGATTGTAAAGTTACCACGATGAGATAACCTCCGATAGGATAAAAATATGTTGGG